CTTGCCCCTTGGTCGACCAGCTAGGCTAACTCAAGTCATTACTCTTCACCTCGAAGCAATGACTTGGAGGGCTCCTGTTCTGGACTGGCACATGCCCCACAGTTGGGCAATGCCCAATTCAGTTTAGCTTAAGGCCAGACCTAATACGGAGATTAGGATAATCTAGTCGTTGGGTACAATATATCCGTTGGGCACAATATGACTGTTGGGCACAATATAGTCGTTGGAGCATGTACCCGTTGGGGACATCCCCCTTATGCGCTTGACAGTTCATGTGACCAACTGTCCTCTGAAAGTCACGGGGATAGTTGAACCAGGTCAAAGATCAGACGCTAGATCTTCCACCTGGCAGTCCCTCATTGGTCGACCAGATATTTGGGTCACATGGGAGACCTTGGCCCCGCGCTGGGGGAAATCCCATAAATACCCTATCTCTTGAGAGGGCCAGGTATTCTAATAATTCTCACTCATACATAAACACTTATACTTTATTTCTCTCTATCCCAAAAACTATCTTTGGCATCGGAGTACCTTGCAGGTACACCCCTAATCTCCTACAACCACTATTGCTGCCTTATATTGAAGGCTAAGATGATCCATTCTGATCACTCCAGATCAGTTCCCTCTAACATGATTTTTCAAAAATATTATTCTTCTCCATTATCGCGTAATTGGAAAAAACATAAATAAATCAACATATTTGACTATCAGAAATCACCATATAGGGAAATCATCACACAAACAAATAAGCAAAATAGAAAAAAATATCATGTAGTCTACAACATTTAGCATTATAGAATTTGAATGCCTACAACATTGTGTGTTCTCGTATTATAGAATCCAAACACATTCATAATGGTGCATGTTTAGACTATATAATACAAACTATGTTACTGTTGATGTACAAGATGAAGATTAAAGAAGAGAGAGAACAAACTTCTACTACTCTTACAGAACGGTTATAACTATACTTGTTTATATACACAAACAATAATGCCACATAAGCGAAAATGCTAAGTTACACTAGCTAGGTTAAGCTTAACAAAACAAATAATACTACTGAATATGGATTAATTCTAACACCATCCCTGAATTCATATTCAGCGAACTAAACTTTACAATAGCAATTCTAAAATGTCCAGTCTTCATATCTTTAGTCAGCACATCTGCAAGTTGCTTCTGAGTGCTACTATGCACAACCTCTAGCACTCTATTCTGCACTTGATTCCTCAAAAAATGGGACTTTGTTTCAATATGCTTGCTTTTCCCATGCAACATTGGATTTTTGGCAAGATTGATTGTAGACTCGTTATCAATTATCAGCTTTAGAGGCTTATTTACCTTGATCTTCAGATCCTGCAGTAAATTCAGAAGCCAAACAACTTAACATGCAACCACAACACCTGTAGTGTACTCAACTTCACAGGTTGACAATGCAACCACTGGTTGATTCTTGGAACGCTAAGAAATAGGACCTCTCAGATGCTTAAACAAATATCTAGAAATACTTCTTTTGTCAACTTTGTCTCCACACCAATCAGAGTCTGAGTAACACATCAACTCTGAATTAGCCTTTTCACCAGAAGGGAAAAATTCCATACTTCAAGGTCCCCTTAATATACCTCAGAATCCTAACAACAACTTGGTAATAAAACCACTTCGGGTTACTCATAAACCTACTAAACATTCCAACTACAAGCAAATATCAGGTATGGTATTACACAAATACCTCGGAGAGCCAACCGAAGTTTATTTGATATGACAAGGAACATGCTGAAGGAGAAGAAGCTCCCTCACACCTTGTGGGGAGAAGCTGTATGTGTGCTCAACAGGTGTCCAACCAAGAAGCTAAAGGAAATTGTTCCTTTAGAGAAGTGGATTGAAGATAAGAAAAGTGTGAGCCATCTGAAGGTGTTTGGTTCTGTTTGTTACAAAAATATTCCAGATGCAAAAAGAAGAAAGTTGGATGACAAAATCAAAGTTATGTTACTTGTAGGGTACCACAATACATGTGCTTATAAGTTATAATATCCTGTCACTAACAAGGTTGAATTTAGCAGAGATGTCATTGTAAAAGAATCAGAAGCATGAGATTAGAATAAATCTCAATCCAACTCTGGTGTAGTGTTAACACCTGAGTTAACTTATGATATCAATTGTTGGTGCACAAGATGAAGAAGATGAAGATGGAAGAAGAGAGAGAATAAAAAACTTCTACTACTCTTGCAAAATGGTTATAAATATACTTGTTTATATACATAAATAATAATGTCACGTAGGCGAAAATGCTAACCTACACCAAATAGGCTACGCTTAACAAAACTAATACTACTAATAATAGCACAAAGAAGTGAAAATGTGATGACTCAATTAATATTTCATGAAACTAAAATAATGCAATTTGTTTTAAATTTATGTATTTTTTTTACTAAAAAGTGATATGTAGAAGTAATGGCGAAGAGGAAGAGATTTGTGAAATGCTCAAATTTTAAAATTCAAATATTTCAAAAGCATCTCTAAGTAATAATATTTTAAAGAATTTTAAAATTATAAGTCTTGCGTGGCGAATGGTGATAAAACGTCTTTCAACTCGATCCAACCTTGTTCGCAGAAACATCATCTCTAATCTGCACGGAAAGGTTTGTGTTTTCCGCTTTGGGTATGAGGAAATAAATAGTCATTTATTCTTCTCTTGTCCTCGTATTGTCTTTGTTTGGAAGAAAGTGGTAGTTTGAGTCAGATTTTCGTGCTTGCTGGAACAAAATTGCACTCTGCACTTGTTTGAATGGGCGGTGGTTATGTTGGGGAAATGTTCGAAGAACACATCGTGCATAATTTGATTTGCAACGTGTTGGTGTATTTGGCAGGTGAGAAATAATATTTTATTCGATAACAAAATATGTAATTTCGAAGTGATTTGGATATGACTATTTTGTATACTTGAAAGTGGTTACCCATTAGTCATAAACACTATCCTAAGAACTCTTTTTATGAGTGACTAAAATGCCCTATCAATTTTTGTAATTAACTTTATTTGGTAGCTTATACTATTGAGTTTTGTTTATCGGGGTTGGAATACCTGTAATACTCCCTTCTAATGCAATACTGCTTGATTATAAAAAAAAATCTATTTAAAATTTAATTTACCATTCATAAATTTGATGGGTCAAAAATAAAATAAATAAAATTTGAGGTCAAAAAATTAATGTATTACTTAATTAAAAAATAAAATAAAATTACAAAAGACATTATCACATTAAGAAGGGAATATATTATCACAAGAAGAATCTTGGAAGCATTTATTGCTACTTTGAGTTGAACCTGTCTTAGCCACACCAATCGAAGATCCATTTTCTCTCCCAACAACCGTCGCTTTATCCGTCGCTCAAAGTAAGCTTTTACTCTCCAATCTCTACACTGCGCCACCTTCATTATATTCATACTTTGATTGAAAAAATAAATTAATATTCCCTTTTGGTTTTTAGGGTTTCGTTGTTACATAACAAATTGCTATTAAATATTACAGTATGCTGATTAGGGTTAGATCTTTGATCATGTTTATCAATTAGTTTCAGAGACAATGATATATTTTAATTTAGAATTAAATTAACAAACTAAAAACCGATTTTGTTGACTGAATTACCAGTTTTTAGGGCTAAATTGAATTGAAAATACTCGTATCAAAACAGTCCCTTTGAGACAATTTAAAGGCTAAATTGAATGATTCAAAATGACTAATTTGAATGATTCAAAATGACTAATTTGATAAGAGGTTTTTAATTTCAGGGATTTTTTTTCTTTCAATTTTGTTAATTCCATGGGACTAAAATGGTGGTTCACTCATTTTTCACTGAATATGTAAAGCTTTTCTAATATAATGTGTTAGGCTGGGTGGGAATTAGAAAAGTGGAGTGAGATGGTGTGATGGGATATTGGATCGGTGGAACAAGCTTCCAATGTGGTGGAGAGGACTGACCTGTCTGGTTAGCACTCTAACGCCGAAGTCAGTGAGAAAATGAGAAGTAATATGAGAGTGAGAATGAATTTGAATACTTGAAATAATACGTTTTACCCTTATATACAAACATCTGTCTGATTGAATTGGACGGTGATTGATGTGTTGGAGGACATAATTGGTTGCTTCCGATCAAAGTGAAGGTCTACTTGAAATTTTCTTCAGGGCGTTTGTCATGGGCCTTGTGGACGGTCTAGAACATAACTTAATAATGTAATAAGTCACATATTAGACTTACCTTTCTCTAGTGTGAGGAGGGTGAATTGTGAAGTTGCACTAGTCATTCATTGGAAATTCAATAAGTATATGCTAACTAGCTTTATTAGTCACAGTTCTTTAATTAATGGATACAACTTTTCACACTTTACCTTCTCAAGTGCACCATTCATTTTAGAGGAGTGAAATTCATTCAGTGTTGTCGATGGCGGTCCTTAGCGGAGAGCCAAAATCCCACCATACCAGCTGCTATGCGACGCTATTATAGCGGATTATGGCGGAAAAACCCACAATATCAGCCGATATTTACCATTGCGGCAAGTCCAAAATCTGCCATGTATATCCGCCATAGTGGTCATGATGCCACAATTTGATAACACTGAATTCATTACATTGTATTTTGATGTTGTTCACGCTTGATTTGCATGTGAAATTCTTTCTTTAAAACTTTAGATCTTTGGTATCAAAAGTTTAGCGAACTGAATGATATAAATTGTGTTGGTTTGGAATTCTGATAGTTTGTTGGAGCTGCATTTTTGCGTTTTTGCGATGAGCCTTTACAACTTTGTTGTTTTTGCAATTGATTTACTTTTATGCTTGATTTGGCTCTAACAATGTATTTCAATACTATTATGTTTGTAATATGTAAAGGATGTTTTTTTTGGGGTGAACATTTTCTATGTTTTTCATACCATATATCTATAATTTTTCCTGTGTTGGGGTAAAACATTTAAGAGAACATTGTCAAGTATTAACTAGATTATGCAGGATGTCGGAAGTGGAACCACCGTTTAGACCACGAGTGAAGATTGTTGAAAAGCAAAAGTATTTCCAGAATATCCCAAAACACACATACTTGAAAGGGCCATTGGATAAGGTTACATCTGTAGCAATACCGATTGCTCTGGCAGGAACTTCATTGTTTCTGATTGTAAGTTAGAAATCTTCATAGAATCTGGGTTATCTTTGCCAAATTTGAAGTTATGTTGGAGTTCGAGTCTCCCTTGTATTTACTGAGATACAATTTTTTTGAAATTGTTCTATTTCTTTTGTTCAGGGTCGAGGAATCTACAATATGTCACTTGGGATAGGAAAGAAAGAATAACTTGTGAGTTCCTGATCAAAGAGGTGGGTGTTTTGTGCCTCAAACTTTAGAGAACTTCTTCAATATGTACCGTCTGTTTTCTTTGCTTTAATGTTAAGTCTTTTAATAAATATGTTGATTACAAAGTTTGTCCACCAATGGAGGTTTAGTATGTGAATGAATACGGTTCGCCGTATGTTTGATGTAACTGGTTGATGAGTTAGTACTTGTGTGTTATTATTGATTGTTCTAGTTCATGTTTGTCTCTGTGGAGCATCTTTTATAGAAGCATCTTTTCATTGGTAGACATTTTGGTTGCCCATTTAGCAAACCACTGAAGTTGCATGTGAAAACTAAGTACATGAGTTTGAAACAAATGTCAAATTGACATCTTAACTGGACATGATTATTAATCTTATAAGATGAGTGAAGATTAAAATGCAGTTTTTTTTAGTCAAACTAGAATATGCAATTGGACTTTCTTTATGTAATGTGCTACATTTATTGAGTTGATTGCAATTCGAAGTTGTCCCCTGTTGTGCTGTGTTAATCTGTCTGGTTTAGCTATGAATTATATGTATGACCAATTTGCTCAAGGGCACATAAACTGAGAATCAAATTGATGTTTTTAATTGAGAAGCTTTGTATGTTAAACCATTACAAACTCAGGGATGTTGTGAAATAGACACCATTTTAAGTATTTCTTGAATCAAATAGAATTTGAAGGTAGACATTGGCTTTGCGAGGGCTGACAACTATTTGTCCAATGATTGGAACATGAGCAACACTGCTGGTCGAGCATTTTCCCTATATAAATATGCTCTGTACGTTTGGCCCTCGCCGAGCATTTTCTCCAATATGGTACTAGAGTCAGGCAAGAGTTTATAAAGAAAATGTTATCAGTAACCATTCTATTTTGATTCTATAACATAGACGCTTTACAAATTTTTTTATTTTATTTTTATTTTTATTACTTTTCATCAAGTTTCATGAATGCATAATTTTCTTTGTTAAAAAGCATAACTAAAATCATTTAAAACTAGATAATCAAAACATAGAATCAAAGGCATAGCAGGGGATGGGGTAAATTTTTATTTCAATTTGTCAAATTAAAAAAAAAAAAAAAAACAATGAATTGATCATACCTCATGGGACTCAATGGAATAATAGCCAAGAATAATATCAGGCACAATCTGTGAAGCAAGCGGTTTACGCATATGTTACAAACCGAATCTATAATTTTTTTCCTGACACATATTTTTGGTCGTACAATTTTGGACTTTCAAGCTTTTTTTAAGTTGGTCAAATTTATTTATTTTTAATTTATATTAAAAGAGAAATAAAAAGTCAATTTTATCTATAGTCTTGCATTATTGTCTACTTGTACTGTTGTTATGCAACTTTTAAATTTTAGCATTTGATTTCACCAACTACCGACCCTTTTCAAGTTTGATTTCTTTAATGCTATGCAGCTTTTAAATTTTAGCATTTAACTTCACGATTTATTGACCAGTTTCAAGTGTGATTTCTTTAATGTTTTGAACATATCTTGACTCTTTTTGAATGAATCACTTTTTAATTTTAATATTTTAGTGTCACTTGACTAATATAAATTATATATTTATTTTAACACTATAACTCTTATATTGCTTTTATAATTATATTTTAAAAAATTATACTAACATTTGTATTTAGTTTTTTTAAAATGTTGTATTCCGTAAGTGCATTGAGTAGAATCTAACTAACCGAACTAAGGCAACACAGGGCACACAAGAAGGATATCTTAGCCATTATTAAAAAATGTTTGTCAAACTCTTTCACAACAATGAACACAAATCATGGAAATAAACATTGTTCTGCGAAGGAAGCATACTTGATTAGTGATAAGAGATTATAGATTGAGTTTTTGGTGGGGTAAAAGAGAGACTAACCTGTAAAGTTAGTACTCCAATATTCAAGTAGACTTGAGTTTTTGGTGGGGTAAAAGAGAGACTAACCTGCAAAATTAGTACTCCAATATTCAAGTCAGTATGAAAGTAATATGAATGAATGAAGTTTGAATCCAAAGTGTATCTAAGAAGTGATGTGTTTCCCTTTATATAGTAGGATAGTTATAACAATATGCTAATATTTAGGCGTGGAATATGGAGATCCGTCTGATCGATCTTAGATTTAGATCACCTGCATTCTAGACTGGATAACGTCCCTACTTCATGAGTGACGCAGTTGATTAGTGTGTTTTTTGGTCGGTAGCTATTGGGCCTTCTGGTCGATTCAAAATACTTATCCTCCAAATTCTTACTTCTATTATGTAGGGTAAAGACTTTGTTGTGTCAAAAAGAGAAGGAGGATACTTTTGTCACTTGGGTAGACCCTATAATTTCAAAAACCATTTCTATCTTTACTCGTGAAGGTAGTCTTGAAATGACTTTTCTTGAAGTGGGTCCTTCTTCGAACTAGGGCATATTGATCCTCGAGGATGATAAAAAGATTTGGAGTGAATATTGCGAGTGCGCTATCCCTTTTTATGAGTGCATCTTTTCGATTTTAAGTATCCGATTTTCCTTCAACAGTTTCGAAGTAAAAGTTCCAAACCATCTGATAATTTCTCCCTCGCAAGTGTACCGTGTGAGAATGGCCTATATCAAAGTCTTCCAATACTTATGTCCGAGGTGTCATCTCTCGGGATGAAGTCTCAATAAAATGATTGGGTTATGTCCAAGGTGTCATCTCTCGGGATGAAGTCTCAATAAAATGTTCAAAACGACTCATCAAAGCCCGCCTATTAATGGATGTCGATACCAAAGAGGAGAGGAAGGTCATATTACTCCCAATGTCTCTATTATTAGATGTTAGTTATTTTTACATGAAATGTTCTTGACATTTTAAGAATTTCTATATGTAGATTCAATGAAGAGTAAAGAAATAGTTCACCAAATGAAGGGGGAGCTCGAGTTGTTTCAAAGATTCTTGGCCCTTTGAACACTCTAATACCGGCCAACGCTCTTGCTCCGGTCGAAATGACAAGGACGTTAACCCTTAATTTACCATGATCTCGAGGAGGAACTGCCCTAATGTCCTCCCTTGATGTGGAGAAGCAAAAGTATTTCAAGAATATCCCAAAACACACATACCTGAAAGGGCCATTTAATAAGGTTACATCTATAGCAATACCAATGGCTCTGGCAGGAACTTCATTGTTTCTGATTGTAAGTTAGAAATCTTCGTAGAATTTGTATTAACTTAGCCATCTTGAAGTTATCTTGCAGTACGAGTATCCCTGTATTTCTTGAGATACATCTTTTTTTTTTACATTGTTCTATTCCTTTTATTTATAGTGGAGGGATCTACAATGTATCACTTGGAATAGGAAAGAAATAATAACTTGTGAGTGTTTTGTGGCTCAAACTTAAGAGAAATTGCATGCAAAAACAAAGTACACAAATTTGAAACAAGGGTCAAATTGACATCTTTAACTGGACATGGTTTTGAATCTTAGAAGATGAGTGAAAGTTAAAATGCATTTTTTTTGAGTCAAACTAGAATATGAAATAGGACTTTCTTTATGTAATGTGCTACATTTATTGAGTTGATTGCAATTCGAAGTTGTCTCTTGTTTTGTGTTGATCTGTCTGGTTTAGCTGTGAATTATATCTATGGGCAATTTACTTAAGGGCACATAGACTGAAAATTAAATTGATGTTTTTAGTTGAGAAGCTTCGTCTGTTAAACCATTACAAACTCAGGGATGCTTTGAAGTAAACACCATTTTGAGTATTTCTTGAATCAAATAGAATTTGAAGGTAGACACTAGCTTTGTGAGGGCTGACAACTATTTGTCCAATGATTGGAACATGAGCAACACTACTGGTCGAGCATTTTCCCTATATAAATATGCTTTGTATGTTTGGCCCTTGCCGAGCATTTTCTCTAATATGGTACTAGAGTATGGCAAGTGTTTATAGAGAAAACTCTCTTTCAGTTTTTCTCCATTTTATAAGTCATATTGTAATATTCTCTCAGTTTTAAAATGACTTTATTTTAACAAATAAATTTTATTTTAAAATGACTGTCATTCTCATTTTTTAATATAATAATGATTATAAATTTTTTAATTGTATCCTTTAATTATTACTGTGCACATTACATTCAATACTTTAATAATGTTAATTTAGTAAAAATGTAATGTCGTATTGTCGCGGCGCGGTTAGTACCTCGACGTAAGGAACACTCGAAATATAAGAAAAACAGAGTCACCGCCAAACTTTATTTATTCGCAAAGAATAAAAGAGAAAATATCGATAAAATCCATAAAAACATAAAGAAAAACAAAAAGAAAATGGTCGTTGCAACAAAATCGGATTCGAGAGTCGATTATGCAAGGAAAAGGTATTGACACCTCTCACATCCATTGTACTCAACGTGGCCTATTTAATTAGTTATGTGTAAGAGTATTAGCATGATATCGTTTGTGATCTTCTAACTATCGAGTGAGGAAAGAGAAAGGAAAAACATTTTATTAAAGGGGTGCTTTTCATTAAAGGAAAATTTTAACAAGATTTCAAAATCCTACTCCTATGTATCTTCAGGTGCTATGAAGAACTCATGGCTACATAGTTCTACTAACTAAGAACTGTTGGGCTGATTGCTTTTAAAAAGTAATTATTTAGACATATCGAGTGATTAAATCTTTGCTTATTGCTCGCTCATGAAGACTAAAGTCTTTGTTTCTTTTGCATCAATATGGATAAAGCATACTCTTTCCTAAAAATGTTTTCGAAGTTGCGTTAGGGCGGAAAACAAGTTTGATTGGTTAAGTTGCTTTTAGGGAGACATGCATCTAAATAGGGAGCTCTACAACAATATTCAAATGCTTGAGAGGAAAGAGGCCTAAGCCCAATTATTCTATTTTCGTTGAGGAGTTATTATGAAACTATGTGGTGAATGAGGTCAAAGTTACAAAAGACGATTATTTACATAGGGAGCACTACAACAGTATCCAAATAATACAGAAGGATAAG